GACCAGCTGCGCAGCACGCGAAAGCGAAGAAACTCGAAACACCCCGACCAAACCTTGACGCGTGCCCCCAAAGCGTTGGACGCCCGAAATGGGCACTGACGAAATTAGCCAGACGAAGGACCCAAGCATATGCAGCTGCGAGTGCCGCATTGTGGGTACCGCGTTCGGTGGAGCTCCCTGTGGGGCAAAGGACCGTGTGAGGGGTGTGTCGAAATGGGAAGCAATCCCCGCATGCGGCCTGTGCCACTGGTGCCTTCGGTGGAGCTCCCTGTGGGGCCACGACCTGTGAGAAGGGCGTGCCAAAATGGGTGGCGGTCCCCGCATGCGGCCTGTGCCACTGGGGCCTTCGGTGGAGCTCCCTGTGGGGCCACGAACCGTGTGAGGGGTGTGCGAAAATGGGCGGCGGTCCCGGCATGCGGCCTGTGCCACTGGTGCCTTCGGTGGAGATCCCTGTAGGGCCACGAACCGTGTGCGGTGTGTGCCAAAATGGGTGGCGGTCCCCGCGTGCGGCCTGTGCCACTGGGGCCTTCGGTGGAGCTCCCTGTGGGGCCACGAACCACGTGCGGTGTGTGCCAAAATGGGTGGCGGTCCCCGCGTGCGGCCTGTGCCAGGGGCCTTCGGTGGAGCTCCCTGTGGGGCAACGAACCGTGAGAGGGGTGTGCCAAATGGGTGGCGGTCCCCGCATGCGGCCTGTGCCACTGGGGCCTTCGGTGGAGCTCCCTGTGGGGCCACGGACCGTGTGAGGGGTGTGCCAACATAAGCGCGGTCCCCGCATGCGGACTGCGCCACTGGGGCCTTCGGTGGAGCTCCCTGTGGGGCCACGAACCGTGTGAGGGGTGTGCCAAAATGGGCGCGGTCCCCGCATGCGGCCTGTGCCACTGGTGCCTTCGGTGGAGCTCCCTGTGGGGCAACGAACAGTGAGAGGGGCGTGCCAAAATGGGTGGCGGTCCGCGCATGCGGCCTGTGCCACTGGGGCCTTCGATGGAGCACCCTGTGGGGCCACGAACCGTGTGAGGGGTGTGCCAAAATGGGCGCGGTCCCCGCATGCGGCATGTGCCACTGGGGCCTTCGGTGGAGCTCCCTGAACCGTGTGAGGGGTGTGCCAAAATGGGTGGCGGTTCCCGCATGCCTGTGAAGCGTGAGGGGTGTGCCAAAATGGGTGGCGGTCCCCGCGTGCGGCCTGTGCCACTGGGGCCTTCGGTGGAGCCGCTTGTGGGGCCACGAACCGTGTGAGGGGTGTGCCAAAATGGGTGAGGTCCTCGCATGCGGCCTGTGCCGCTTGGGCCTTCGGTGGAGCTTTTTGTGGAGCCACGAACCGTGTGAGGGGTGTGCCAAAATGGGTGGGATGATGATGGTGACGATGAGGAGGAGGAGGAGGAGGAGGAGGAGGAGGAGGAGGAGGAGGAGGAGGAGGAGGAGAAGGAGGAGGAGGAGGAGGAAGGGGAGGAGGAGCGAGGAGGAGGTGACGCGGGGCGCTTTCTCTTCAAAACGAGGACCCAACACCACAGGATGGTTGGAAAAAATACGCACGATGCCCAACACCAGAAATGGTCCAAGACCGACGGCGGACGCTGTTGGGCAGGCGGCTTCCTGCCTCAAGTGGACGGCGTCCGCGGCGACGCCGACAGCGAGTCCTGTCCACGGTGGACCAGGAACCTTCATGATTGTTCATTGAAACAAAACGACAGCTAACCCTAATAACACGATGAAGACGTGGCCTCACTGAGGTCCCCGAATTCGCATCAGGGATAACACATCTGGGCGGTTTGGCCTAGCACATCTGCAGAACAGACCCCCTGCCCCTAATGCTTCTGGCCCTCCTAACTTAGGCCCCCTTCCAAAGGGTAGGGGTCAAATTTTTTGGCCAACCAGTTTTTGCCCACAAGACACAGGGACTGCCGCCAGACTTCGCCCTCCCGCCCCTTGGCGTCTCCCCCCTTCGACCGTGCCGAGCTGCACGCGCGGGGTGCCCCCCCCGACACTGCCAGGTGGCCTCCAGGTGCTGCCCCGTCCCGGCGCCCCCGCTTCACTCGGGTCGGGCGAAAGGGGGGGATAGCAAAGGGGGTGTTTGAGAATCAGCTCACGTAGCTGATTTTCCCAGCGCCTCCGGGCGCCGGAGGCGGCCATGTATCGAGGAATGGGCCCCTCGGTGGGGCCGAAACCAGCTGCATGCAGCAGATTTCGTAACCCCCACCTTCCCAATCCCCCCCTTTCGCCCGGCCCGATTCACGGGGACTCTCCCAGCCTTGGGTCGGGCATGTCCCCCCACAGTCGGATTTTGGACGAAAAACTGAAAATAATCAAAAGATTCGCAAACATAGTCGAATAACATGAGAAAATCGTCCCCTGACTTTTTGTTTTACCATGTTTGGATACTCCTCCTGTAGAGGGACATGCCCGCCTTAACACTAACCAAAACTCTGGACAGTGACCCGGCGAACCCAGCGCTCCCCGATGTGGGCAACGCTGCTGTGCCAGAAAGAGCCTCTATCGGGGATAGACAGACCTCACTTTAGTAAAACGTGGTTTAGTGAAAACGACCTCGGACCCAAACCTGGCGGGCGCAAGCCTGGAAAATGGCGGCCGCGGCGCCCTCTCGAGAACCGAAAACGGACAATTCACTACTCGACGTGTCAGGGTAGGAGGTCTGTCCACCCTCGAACTCTAAGATGGCAACGTTCGGCAAATCTCCGAAGTACCCGCCGGTGAGTACCCGTTACGTACCCGTGACGGTGCCGCTGACCGTCCGACGATGCACCACGCGCGCCGGGCCCTGCGGGAGGCGGGGCGGCCTCCCCAGCAAGGCCCCCCGCCTCGCCAGTGGCCCCCCTCGCGCCCGAGCCTTCCGCCCCCCCTACTACTAGATGGGGGGCCCCAAAATATACACCACCACCACCTCCCTCACCCCTTCCCTCTCCCAGGAAGGAGGAGAGGAAGAAGAGGGTAGAGGAGGTCGAGGAGGACTCGACGTGGTGGTGGTGTATATTCTTGGTCCTCACTAGAGGGTACAACATCCGCCCCCATGATTGCTCACCCCGACAAGCGAAGCCGTTCAGTACAGGCACCCACAGACGGACTCGAGCAGGGCAGGGCGGTCTCGTAAACGCCCAGGGCCGTTCAGTGAACGCCAGCGATGGGGTCCTGGCGGGTGGTCCTCCCTCCCGCTGCAGCTCCACAAGCCGGCGGAGGAGGACGCCTGGCGCCTCGGCGGCGACGTGGCCGGCGCGAGCGTCGTCTCGGACGCCCGCCTCTCGCAGCAGCGGAACGGCGCCGCGACGGAGTGGACGGTGGAGTCGCCGATCACCTTCAGCTACAAGGTCCGCGAGAGCGTCGACATCCTCGATCCGTCGATGCGCCCCTCCCTCCCGCCCGACCTCCCCGCCCGCCCCCCGGAGTGCGGCCAGGTCGAGCTGCTGCCACAGCGAGCGCCGAGAGGGCCATGAAGCAGGGAGCCGCGCGCCGGCCCCAGGAGCCGGGCGCCCCCGCGCGCGGGAGGCGCAGCCGGGGGCAGGCCCCGAGGGACAGGGGGGCCCCCGTCCGTGGCCGCCGTCGGGCAGCTCGGGGCCGCGGAGGGGGATGGCCCACCGAGTGGGGGTCGGGCCGAATGCGGCACCCCCGCATCCAGGACCTGTGCTCAGCGGGCCCTGGAAACGACAGGGCCGGTTTTGTCACCGGCTCCGTTCTGCCGTTTTTGTTGCCGGTTCCCACGCCGTTGTTTTACCGGTTCCGTCGCCGTTTTTTGACCGGTTCCGGCTCCGGTTCCAATCCTGGAGCCGTTTTTTGCCGTTTCCTGTGGCCCTTGTTTTGCCGTTTCCATTTTCAAGGGACACTTTTTTGGAAACGGTGAAAAAACGGCCCTGCCGTTTCCGTAGCCCACAAAGGACCTGTGGATATGGGAGCGCGTGAGGGCCAAGGATCTGAAGGTGCTCAGGTTGGACACGGCGGTGAACCGCGCAGGCATCGGGACGAAGTGCCTGGACGGCTCGAGGATAGAGGTCTTGCTGGAGGTCATGGAGCTAGCGACAGGAGGGCATACGGCTGGCCATGTGGGCGACTCCACGGCGGCTGTGCTGAGGGTAGTCACAGCGCAGCTGACGAGACCGGTGGATCGCACCGCATCGCAGATGCATCGACTCAGAGAATCAGGCTGCAAATGTCGCGCCGCATCGCCGATGCATCGGCGATGCGGCGAGGCCCTCTGGGCCGGTCCGCCCTGGCCTTACAGTCAGCCCGTACCACAAGGACGCACGGTAAGGATGCAAGGACCTTGGAAGGCCGTTTCGAAGCTTTTCGAGCAGGGCGCGGCCAGCGAAGAAGTGGCCACGGATGGACCGAGGAGGCGAGGATGCAAAGGCACCCTTGGGAAGGCTTCCCATCCCAACTGTGCGGGTTGACTGTACGGCGAGGCCAGGACGAGGGTAACATCGGGTGAGGATAGATCGAGAATCTCTGGGATCTGGCCGGCTCTAGAGGATATCTCGGGTGCGGCGGCCTTCTCAGAGCGTTCTGGAACGCTCTGAGAGCGGTTCGAGAAGTGCCGCCGTTGTCGCGACTGCCCCTCCTCCGAGAAAGGTCGAACATCGATCCTCGAAGGCCCTCGGGGTCTCGGCTTCTTTCTCCCCTGTCAGGGCGGACGAAAGAGGGGTAGCAAGGGGGGGGTTCGCGAATGAGCTCACGTGGCTGATTTCCCGGCGCCTCCCAGCGCCGGAGGCGCCAGTGTAACCTTGTGGATGCCACGACAATGGACACCCTAACAATTCTACGATTCATCTAAACATGTGTTCAAATTGTCGGAGAATTGTCTGATCATTGAAAAAAAAAAAAAAAAAAAAAAAAAAAAAAAAAAGTTTAAAACATGTATGAAACACTTTTTAGACATCTGGAAAAATCAGCTGGAAAAATGCTTCCTCACCATTGATCGGCGTCCACAAGTGTATCCTGGAGAGTACCTAGCGGCTCTCCCACCGGCCGCGGCTGCCCCCCGCCCACCGCGGGCGTGCCTGACTCGCCGGCGACCACGACGAGCACCAGCGGCGGGTACAGCTCCACCTGCGGCTGGCTGTCCTGCCAGGCACAGGCGGGATCGTCGTCGTCGTCGTCGTCGCGGCCGCCGCCGCCGCCGCCAGCGCAGCCGTCGTCGTCGTCGTCGTCGCCCCCGCCGCCGCCGCCGCCGCCGTCGTCGTCGTCGTCGTCGTCGTCGTCGTCGTCGTCCTACTGGCCCTCGTGGTCGTCCCCGTCCTCGTCCTCGTCCTCGTCCTCGTCGTCCTCGTCCTCGTCCCCGTCATCGTCGTAATCCTCGTTGAAGTCGTCATCGTCGTCGTCGTCGTCGCCCTCGTTAGTACCCTCGTCCTCGTCGTCATCCTCGCCCTGGCGTCGTCGTCGTCGTCCGCGTCGTCGTCGTCGTCCTCATGAACTCGTCAACGTCGACATCCTCGTCGTCGTCGTGACCGTCGTCGTTCCGAAATAATCGTTGTCGGAGGGGCAGAAGTAGAAAAACTGTCAAGAGTGGTAGTCGGAAAGTCCATGGGGGCTGTCGAAAAGTCAGCCAGCCAGGACGTCTCGACTCTTTCCTGAGCATCGTTTATCCGACCCCTGTCCCCATCTGCGTGGCCTGGGCCCCTCTGGCCGATTTGCCCCACTAGATGATAGGATGTAGGACGTTCACTTCGGATTTCGAGCGGTATATCCCCAACTGAGGTGCTGAAATGGTGAGGGTCTGGATAGGGATGGGGATGGGGATAGGGGTCGGTTAAACGATACTGATTCCCCAGGACCGACGTTTCACCCTGAGCTCTCCTTCCACAGCAACAGAGTGGCCAGTGAGGTCCCCGTGGCGGCCGAGAATGAACCCAAAAGCTTCCGTCGTGAAGTGCCACCACAAACAGAAGTCTCCCTAATGGGGCCCGAGCAGCTGGGGTCGGAGGATCGCGCCGCATCGCCGACGCATCGCCGACGCATCGGCGATGCACTGGCGATGCATCGCCGACGTGGGCGATGCATCGGCGACGTCGCCGTGAAGCGAATCGGGCTCCACGTCGAGCCGCACCGGCGATGCACCGGCGATGCGGCGCGACCCTCCGGCTCCCGCTATCCCGACCCCACCCAGTAGGCCTACAGAGCCCCTCCAGTCCCCACCATATCCCGACCCCCTCCGGTCCCTCCGACTCCATCCTACTCCGACCCCGTCTGATCCGACCCCATCCAGGAGGCCCATCTGTTCCGACCCCGGAGGAGGACGAGGAGGAGGAGGAGGAGGAGGAGCAAGGAGAGGAGGAGGAGGAGGAGGAGGGAGGAGGAGGAGGAGGAGGAGAGAAGGCGGAGCAGGAGGAGGAGGAGGAGGAGGGGGAGGAGGAGGAGGGGGAGGAGGAGGAGGCGGGAGGAGGCGGAGGAGGAGGAGGAGGAGGAGGAGGAGGAGGGGGAGGGCCCCATCCAGGAGGCATCGAGGGCCAAAGAGAGAGTGGCCGGGCAGGGGCGCCGAAGAGAGAGGCCGCGCCTCGGCGCGGCGGGCCGCCCCCCCCCCCCCGCGGTCGAGCCGCTCGGGCTCGCGGAGGTGTGGCCGCGGGGGCCCGGCGGGCCCGGGTCGACGCGCCAGGCGCGGCGGCCGGTCCAGGGCCTCCCTGGACCGCTGCGAGGGGGCTCGCATGAGGTCGGCCAGTAGAGAAAAAAAAAACTAACCAAAAACACTCAAAAACTGATCGAAAGTCGTCCCCAGGCTATGTTTTGACTATTGTTGTTGAATCAGATTCCTCCTGTAGCGGGGCATGCCCGACGCAAGGCTCGCAGAGCTCTCGGGCACTGGGAGGGGCTCGCAGTGTACAACGAATCGTCTGGTCGGTCGAGGGGCCTGGCAGCTCGGTGCGGAGACGCCCCAGCTTCATAGCCTGTGGAATGCTGGAGCGTCTGTGCACCGAATTCCTTCGTCAAGGTCGTCGGCGCCTTGGCCGACCGGACGACGTGGTTTCTCCATCAACCCCCCTCGAGGCACGATCTGCAAGACCATACCAGACCAGACTGCAGCGTGCGTCAGATCAGGCCGCACCGGCAGAGGGACGGAACCAAAGCGGATCGGCCGCACCAACAGGCACTACAGCGCCAAGGCAAGCATCGGCCCAGGGATCCGACATCGTGATTTTTGTCGCAAAGAGGATCGGGTCGGGCGAAAAGGGGGGATAGCAAAGGGGGGCGTTGAGAATCAGCTCACGTAGCTGATCTTCCCGGCGCCTCCCGGCGGCGGGAGGCGCCCGGTGGGGCCGAAACCAGCTGCATGCAGCAGATTTCGTAACCCACCCTTTCCCAATCCCCCCCTTTTTGGACGCCCGAGTTATCCGGGGTAACTCGGGTCCGGGGTAACTCGGGTTTGGATTCCCGAAAAAAGAACCCGAGTTATCCCTGACCCGAGTTACCCCTGATGATTCGGGGCTCTGGACGCCCGAGTTATCCGGGGTAACTCGGGTCCGGGGTAACTCGGGTTTGGATTCCCGAAAAACGAACCCGAGTTATCCCTGACCCGAGTTACCCCTGATGATTCGGGGCTCTGACCTTTCGTCCGGCCCGAGAGGAGAGGACCCTTTCCCGGGACCAGCTCTGTCCGTGTTTTCGAGGGCCTCGGGCACCCCCCTCGGTGTGCCCGGCGAGGGCCCGCGGAGGTCGAACGAGGGGACAGCGCAGCGTCCATCGGTTTTCCTTGTTCCGCATCGGCTCCTCCATTTTGGGGTGGCCGTTGTTATGCGCCCACTCGAAGGTTTCGGGCGGGGGCTCCCTCTCGCGCGCGCGCGCTGCGTCGCTCCGCGGGGGTATTTTTCACGACGGTCTGGCCATGCTGGCCTGGGAAGCTATCGCAGCTCGAAGCGGATCGAGCTGGGCGAGGCGGATGTCGAGCCGCGCCGAGCAGAGTCGAACAAGGGCCAGGCAGAAGCCGCCTCTCGTGTCCCGCACCGGGCGTCGCGGCCCTCCACGGGCCGGCCTGGCGCGGAGAAGTGTCTGTCCGAGCTCCGCTCGTCAGCTACGCGTGCTCGACCATGGATCCCCATGTTGCCCATCGGCAGTGGGCGGTACAGTCGGGGCGTTGACCTAAGGAACCCTGAATAAGGAACGAGGCCCCTTTTTCCCCTAAGTCAAACTTCGATTTCCCATGGAAAACCGAAGGGAAACTGCAAAACTATCGAGGAACACCGAGCCCCTCCCCAAAGAAAAGGGTTTCTTCTTCAAGGCCCCGACGGTATGCTGGCGCGGCGCACCCTGGCGGTCTTGCGTCGCCTTCGGCGGTAACTTGCGGCCTTCGGCGCCTAAAGAACTGAATGGCTGCGTGCAACCAGGGTTAGGTCGGGCCTGTCCTCCTGCAGGCGGAGCTCGGGTGAGAAACGCAAAAGGATCCAGCAAGCAAATTGAAAAAAGAGCCTCAACTCGTCAGAGCATTGCTTTCAGACTGTTGGTTGTCTCTTTGATGCGATGGGGATTTTATCCAGATCCACCGCCTGGAAGCCGACGTCATGGTGCCCCAGCGGGCGGCGGATGTGGGTATATTTCGGCCCCCGGGGGCCCGAATCTTTATATATATATATATATATATATATGTATGTATGTATGTCTGTCTGTCTGTCTGTCTGTCTGTCTGTCTGTCTGTCTGTCTGTCTGTCTGTCTGTCTGTATGTATGTATGTATGTATGTATGTATGTATGTATGTATGTATATATATATATATATATGGGTGTAGATAGGTCGATGGATAGATAGATAGATAGATAGATAGATAAATAGATATATAGTTATATCCGTAGCCACCACCTGTCGAGGCTCCGAATAAACTGACCCTCCAGGCGGTGGTCCCTGCACAAGCTCCCGCCCCTCGGACTTGAGCAGATTTCCTCCTATGGAGGGACCTGCCCGACTCCAAAGACTGGACGGGGGCCCCGTGGCCGAACTCCCAGCGCCCGTCGGACTTGAGCAGAAGTCCCGCCCCTCGGACTCGAGCAGAAGTCCTCCTGTAGAGGGGCCTGCCCGGCTTCAAAACTGCACGGGGATGAGCATCGTTTAACCGATCCCCATCCCCACCAGCGTGGGCTGAGCCCCACCGGCCGATTTATCCGCTGGATGGGGATATAGGCGGCTCTCTTCGGGTTTCGAGGGGCATATTCCCAACTGAGGTGGTGAGATGGTGGGGCTCGAGATGTGGATGGGGATGGGGATAGGGATTGGCTAAACGATACTGAGGGGAGGCTCGGGGGCCGCACTCCCGGCGGCAGCGTGCCCCCCCGCAGCGCCGCGGGCCCGTCGGGACGCCGGGCGCCCCGCCCGGGCCCCCGACGGCGGGGCTGCTGCTCGGCGGGTCCTCGGAGGCCTGGGCCCAGCCCTGAGGCCAGGTCGAGCATGCGTCCTTCCACAGGCGGACGTCAGCGGAAAAAAATTGAAAAATAGTCACACAAAAAAATCTCCTAAATAGTATCAAAAAATGTTCCAAAATAGTCCAGAACAAAATGCTCCAAAATAGTAGCAAAAAATGTTCCAACGATCATCCCCAGAGTATGTGTTTCCCATGTTAGGAGATTCCTCCTGCAGAGGGGCACGCCCGACTTAACCCCAAGGCGAAGTCAGGACAGGGGCAAGATCGGGGCGGGGCAAACCGCTGATCTCTGGTGCTCAAGACTTGTTTGTGTACCACACCCTCCCCGCCGCAGGCAGACCCCACCGCCAAGGGGCCACTCTCGGTGCACAAAGACCACGGGGAGGGAATCTTGCCTACCAGACCCACGACCCGGACCCTCGCTCGCCACCTGGAGCTCTTGGGTATATAGTATACATTATCTTCGGGATGGTCTGGAGACCGCTTTAGAATCGGCGATAAGCTGGGTTATCCTGGGGGGAGGAGGAGGGGGCCGGCCGATAACCTAACCTTCGCGCTGTGGGCAGCCCTGCATATGCCCGCGCCCCACCACCCTGGACCTGCACAACCGGCAAGGGTAAGTTATCCTGGTGAGGGTGGGGGAGGGGGGGGGGGGGCAAGCCCGATAACCCAGATGCTCGCCAGACCCTATATATACACACATATACATACATATATACATATATATATATATAAATATAAATATGTAGACATATATATATATATAGCCCCCTGGAGGCAGGGAGCTCGCCAGAGCCTCCCGTCGGCGTGTTTGCTGTTCGCGGCTCGAGGGGCCTGTCGGCTGCGAGCGAGGGGGGGGGGGGACTGAGAAGGAGAAGGTCTTCCCAGAAGGCTCGGAAGTCCCCTGGCCTTCCGGGAAGTGTTCTGACCCTTTCCCGAAGACGAAGAAAACACTTCTCAGAAGTCGCGAGGGCTTCTAGAAGTCCCGCCGCCTGCCAAGGAGGGCTTCCCCTTCTCAGTTCCCCCCCTCGCTCGCCGCCGAGTCTGGGCTCCCAGCAGGAAGTCCTGGCACATGCAGATGACCTTGCGCATGATGGCCGGGCCGCCACCGTACCACTCCACCAGCTTGAGCCACATCTCCTCGGCAGAGGCGGGCGAAGACGCCAGTGGAGACATACCACCTGGGCCTTTGAACCTCAAGTTCGTCGAGCTGTCTTGCAGGGCTATCATTTACCCTCCTGGAGGGGCCAAGGAGGCGTCCCTTAAAATGGGCGGACCTCTGCTAAGCAAGGCTCTCATCCACTTCCTCCGTCTCCTCCGCTCGGTGTGGACGAAAGGGGGGCGAATCAACTGAATGTAGCTGGTTTTCCAGGCGCCTGGAGGCGCCGGGAGCGGCCATACATCCAGGAACGCGCCCAGCGGCGGGGCTGGAGTCAGCTGAACGCGACAGATCTCGGCACCCCCTGTTTCCCCGAATCCCCCGTTCGTCTGCCCTGCTCGCCCCTCCTCTTCGACCCCCCTCCTCCTCCTCCTCCTCCTCCTCCTCCTCATCCTCCTCCTTTTCCTCCTCCTCCTCCTCTCCTCCTCCTCCTCCTCCTCCTGCAACTCCTCGTCCCCCTCCTCCTCCACCCTCCCCCTCCTGCTTCCACCTTACCATCTTCCTCCTCCTCATCTCCTCCTCCTCCTCCTCCTCCTCCTCCTCCTCCTCCTCCTCCTCCTCATCATCATCATCATCATCATCATCATCATCAGCAGCAGCAGCAGCAGCAGCATCATCATCATCATCATCATCATCATCATCCTCATCCTCATCCTCATCCTCATCATCATCAGCATCATCGTCATCGTCATCATCATCATCACCACATCATCATCAGCATCATCATCAGCATCATCATCAGCATCATCATCATCAGCAGCATCATGTGTTCTTGTTACGCGTATGTCTTCTTAGAATTAGCAATAGTGGCATTGCCTTTTGCCTTCATACCATCACTATGATTCTTAGTATCAATATTAGTATGCGCATTCTGCTCTATGGAAACGGCAATACAAGTATGGCTAATATTAGCAATAAGAGTAGCATTACGATTGTTATCATTATTCGAAGGGTTGTTCGTCTTCTTATGCGTAAAAGTTTTATCATCCGCCATAAGCGCCGTAGTCTCCTTTTGCCTTATGATAATGTATAGTGCTAGTAGCATTCGTCTTAGTATGCTTATTATTCGTAATCGTATCGCATGTGCCAACCACCTTACCGCGAAAGATCCCAAGAAACACCCGCCGACCCCTGTTGGATCTCCAGGCGTGTGAGATCCCGCCCCCATCATCTCACAGAGCCCCATATCCAGCAATGCGGTCCGCCGACGGCCTCTTCGAGCGCCTTTTGCAGTCGCCGACGGCTTCCGCAGCCTTCCGAGACGGCCCGTAGGGTCTCCAAGACGGGACAGCAAGCCCCACGAGTCGCAAATGCAGCAGGCCTTCACGAGACCACACCCGCAGACATTCCAAGACGGCTCCAACACAGCTCACGAAGATCGTGTTGTTTTTCGCAGTATGCAGCTTTCCGGCGCTCCAAGATGGCTCAATCGGCTCGTAAAATCGCCCCAAAGCGGCCCAAGAGAAGCCAAAGGACATTCCAAAACGACCCAACGTTTCCCCAAGACAGCCAGACAAGCCTCCAAAACGGCTCCAAGAAGCCTCAAAGCGCAGTGATGCATGGAGTTGTCGGCAGATGCGGCGTAAAAGCGCAGTATTTCATAGAGGGGTCGGCGGATGTTACAGAAGCCTATTGAATCGAATCGAGGCGAATCGGCTGAGGATGCAGAACAGCACCATGCAAGCATCGGGCCGCATCGGGCCGTCGGAGCAGCAGCATCGGATCTGGCCGACCCGGCCGAAATCGATATGGGGTCGGATCGACCAGAACAACATGGATCATACCTGCACCACCGCGCCAGCTTGTGCGGCCATCTCCGGCGCTCGCATGTCAGACTCTAGGTCGGGCATGTCCTCCTACAGGCGGATGCTGGAAAAAAGCAAAAAAACAACGGAATCCACAAAATCAAGAACAGTCGAAAAGGCACGAAGAAATCGCCCGCAGATTAGCTCTGTTACGATCCTTGAATATGCCTCCTGTAGAGGGGGCACGCCCGACTTCAGTCAGACTCCTCCCTCCCTGCGATGCCACCCCGACCCGAGCGGACCCAGGGACCTGCCCTGCAGACGCCCCACCCCACAGCAGAAGCGCGGCTCGATCCTCGGGGATGAGCTCGTAGTCCAGGTGCTCCACCAGGTTCATCTTGAGCTCGCCCTGCTCCCCACAAGTGGGGCAACCAAAATAGAGCAAGAACGAACAGCATACACATGATAAACTTTTGGAGGTCCGCGCGGGATTTCTTGATCCGCGCTGGGCCGCCCTCCCTTGCGCGCGGAGCGCGCCAGAGGCGGCGCCAGGGGCGCCGACAGGGGGGGCCCAGGCGCCGATCCAGGAAATCCGCGCGGACCGTCGAAAGGTTATGTTTGTGCCGTTTTCTTCTTAGACACAGGTACCGATACCGCCACTCCCGGGCCTATCCCTGGGCGCCTTCTGACCAGAACTTCGGGACGAATTCACCGGTGGCGACGAGAGCACCCCAGGAGGCCCAAAGAGGCCAAAAACGAACGAAGGGCAGCGGTATGGGTACCTTTTCCTCTTGTGGATAAGAGGAAGATGAGGGGCAACGATAGGGGGGGGACTGGCGTAGGGGGGATGCATCGACCTGGAATCGGCGATACATCGCCGATAGATCGGCGCTAGGCCCCCGATAGTGAATCCGCACCTTCCTGGGCAGGGTGGGTCTATCGGGCCCCTCTCGGCGATCAATAAGCGATTGGGGGTCGATGCACCCCCCCCGATGCCCATCCCCCGTCCCCCCCTACCGTTGCCCCCGAGAACAGGAGGAGAAGGGGAGGAGGGGACCGTGGGCGATGCACATCTCCGCATCCGTGGCCTCGCGTTCCTTGGTCCCTGGGCGGCGACCTCGCGGGGTAACGGATGTGTTTGCTTCCCAAATGTCTCGCATGCGACCGCTGATCCGCGGGGTCGCGCCCCGGAATCCAGACCGCCGAGGGTGATGCGGATACGGATATGTTTGTCGCTCTTGGAGGCCTGGAAATGGGCACCAACACCAACACCAACACGGGGGTTTGCCTCCACAGAAAAAAGATGCTGCCAGAGTTCGCTGTTGGTGGAAATATGTCGGCCACCTCGGAAGCCAGTGCATCACCTCGGAAGCCAGAGTATGACCACCATCGCCAAGATCGGGATCCTCTTCCCTCGGTGGATACACGCCGCCGATGCTGGTGTTGGGGTCAATCCCTAGGCCCGCGACAGTGGGCAGGCGAGCGAAGCGAGGCGAACGCCGGAGTCGTGCGTGCCCCTCCGCGGAGCCCGCCCGTGCCCGGCAGGGCACGGCGCGGAGGCCGTGGCCTCGAACAACCGAAAGCCTGAAGTCGGGCCTGTCCCCCTACAGGGGGATTTTCGACGATTTTCGACGAAAAAATCTTCAGACTAATTTTTGACTATTCTTGGATACTCCTCCCGTAGAGGGACGGGCCCGACTTAGCGGAAGCCCCCGAAACCATCGTGGGATGGAGGAGACGCCCCGAGGCACCAGGGAGCTCCGGAGAGACCCCCGGAGGAGGGGCCGTCAGGAGTGGGGAGCGCGGCGTGTCCTGCCTTGTCTGGGCCTCCGGGGGCGGCCCCCTCGCCGCCACCGCTGGTCGGCAGCAGGCGCCGCCCCTGCACCTACGGACAAGGCCCGCGTGGGGAGCGCGGCGTGCCGCTTCCGCCCGAGGGCCGCGCGGGCTGCGCGCGAGAGCGGAGGCGCTGTTTCGCCGCGGCGCGAGGAGGAGGAGGAGGAGGAGGAGGAGGACAAGGGCCGCCCCTGCACCTACGGACGGGGAGTGCTGCTAAGAAGCCCTCCCCCCTCCCCCTACCCCCCTCCGCGCGCGGCCGGCAGCGGCTTCCTTGTGGGGCCCTTGTGGCGGACCTCCGATGCGATCTGATATCCCCCCCCTGTGATGAGAAGCAGGTTCGCACTGCGACACGAAGGTGATGTAGATGATGCTAGTTCTGGTTCCCCGTGCCGTCGCCCTCGCAATCACGCGCCGCAACTTTCTGCGCCGGTGTCGTCTCTGGTATAGCTTCTTCTCTCTAGCTCAGCCCAGCACAACAGAGGCCTTCAGCAAGCGCACCCCAGGAAGGAATCAGGCAGGGCAGGGCTGTTTCGCAAACGCCCAGGGCCGTTTTGTAAACACCAACGATGGGAGTCGGGCTTCCTCCCTTGATCCGATCCGATCCCCCCGCAAGCCAGCCTTGTGCTCTCCCTCCAGGTCGGAGTTGTCGATCTCGGGGGGCCGCGCGGGCAAGCGGTGCGGGCCCCCTGCGCCGGGCTCCATCGCGCTGCCGAAGGCGGGGCGGTCCTCCGCAGCAGCGACGATGACGTCGCCGACGACGGCGACGACGGCGAGCGACGACGGCGACGACGACCACGACGAGCGACAAGCGACAAGCGACGACGACAACGACGACGATTGACGACGACGACGACGACGACGACGACGACGAAGACGACGACGATTGACGACGACGACGACGACGACCACGACGACGACGACGACGACGACGACGACGACGACGACGACGACGGCGACGACGACGACGACGACGACGACGACGACGATTGACGACGACGACGACGACGACGACGACGACGACGACGACGACAATGACGCAATGACGACGACTACGACGACGACGACGATTGACGACGACGACGACGACGACGACGACGACGACGACGATTGACGACGACGACGACGACGACGACGACGACGACGACGACGACGACGACGACGACGACGACGACGGTTGACGACGGCGACGACGACGACAACGACGACGACGACAACGACAACGACGACGACGACGACGGGCAACACTGATGACGACGGCGCTCATGAAGACGACGACGGGGGCGACGTTGGCAAGGGATTCGTTGACGACGAGGGCGGCGTTGACAACAACCAGTACGACCACGACGACGACGAGGCTGGAGACGACGACGAGGGTGACGACGGCGGGGGCGACGGTGACGATACCACCCTCAAAATCGGCCCCCAGACATGCTATAGACCGAACTCCCACCAGGACGCTGAGGCGAATCCAGCCGCGGCGACGAGGGCCTCCCAGAAAGGCGCTGAGAAGGGCGATCAGCACGCCAAGCGCCCCCCATTCCATATGCTCAAGCCACGCAGCCTTGCGCACCGCGCGCCTCGAAGCGCCGTCATACCCACGCCCTCGTGCCGCCGCCCTTGATAGAGTCCACTAGATCCCTAAATGGGGTCCGAAAATGTGGGGTCGGAGGATCGCGCCGCATCGCCAACGCATCGCCGATGCATTGGCAACGTCGGCGTAGTGCAACAGTTACGTTGATTCGCGGTGTCGAAATCCCAAGAATGGCGATCTGGCACGATCCAAGATCGTCAAGACGCAACAGCCAAGTTGATCCGTGGCGTTGGAATCCCGAGAACAATGTTTTGGCATGCTTCCGGGTCTTCAAACGGGTGTCTTCCAACGAAGCAGATCCCTCAATTGAGATGCACCGTTGTAGAGGCCCATGAAGAGGGAGCTTGGAGGGAGGGTATATTCCAACATCGTTGATGGCCCTTGGGTTTACACTGGTCCTCTCCTCCTCCTCCTCCTCCTCCTCCTCCTCCTCCTCCTCCTCCCTCCTCCTCCTCCTCCCCCCTCCCTCCTCCTCCCTCCCTCCCTCCCTCCCCCCCTCCCTCCTTCCCTCCCTCCCTCCCTTCCCTCCCTCCCTCCCTCCCTCCCTCCCTCCCTGCCTCTGTGTGGCTATTTTGTCCCCTCCTGAGCCATGTGGCGCCCGATGGGCCCCCCCCCCGGGGCGCCGGCGCCACTGCCAGCCGGGACTGGCAGGGGCGGAAGCGGGGCGCTTAAGGCACGCGGCCCGTGCCGTCCGCGCGGCTGTCTGCCGCGCCCCCTCGGACCGCGAGGAGGCAGCGTGGTCCCTCGGAACTCGGCCAGGGTCGAGTCGGCCAGCGCTCATCTCGGCCAGGCTCGACTCGGCCAGGCTCAACCCGGCCAGGCTCAACTCGACCAGGCTCAGCTCGGCCGGATCCGGCCGGGGCTCTGGCTGCGGCGGGGCGCTCGGATGAACTGAGCCGGATGATCTCTGCCGGATTAACTCGGCTCGGCTCAACTCGGCCGGGGCCCTTGCTGGCGCTTCCAGGGTTTTCTGTGGGAGGTCTCTTGGGCTCTCTCTTGGAGCTCGCCTTGGCCTTTTCTTGGAGCCTCTTGGGGCCAGTTTGGCCCCGGACCCAGAACCGGCCCGATCTGGCCCTGCCCTGGCCCAAGCTGGTGGCCCGGGTCTGGCGCGGGCCCGGACCAGGTCTGGACACCGACCAGACCGTCGGCCGGCCCGAGAAGCCCCGTACATTCTATCTTTCGGTCCTCTCCTCCACCTCTTTCTCGTCCTCTTCCTCCTCCTTCCATTTGTTTGCTTTTTTCTTTTTGCGGCGAACCCGAGGGCCCTCTCCGTGAGTCTCCGCGCACTCCGGCCCTCGTCGGAACTGCGGGTGCCCCCGGCTGCCGCTGGGGATAGGGGCCCGACAATGACGACGGCGACGACGACGAAAACGACTCACGACGACGACAACGACCACGACCACGACCACGTCGACCACGACCACGACCATGAACACGACCACGACAGATGACGATGACGATGACGACGGGAGGGGCCCCAGACGGGTCCACGAGGGCCCAACCGAGGGTCCAAGAGGTCCTTCTGGCGCACAAGGCCCAACACTATGCATAGAGTTGGGGCCTTTGGGCTCTATGGAAGGTCTACGCTCTCGCGCCGAGCTCGCTTTGGGTTCTCTTGGGGCTTGTTTGGGCTTTCCGTAGGGCTCTCTGACGGGCTCACGAGGGCCTCAAGACGGCTCCAAGAGGGCCCCAAGACGGGTCCCAGAAGGTCCTTTGGCGAGCGAGGCCCAACCCTACGCATAGAGTTGGGGCTCTGGGGTTCCGGAGGGAGTTCTGCAGAAAACCCAACCTCTGAGGAACCCATGCGCCCAACCCATCGGGACAACCATCGGGACAACCATCAGGACAGCCATCGGGACACCAATCGGGACAACCATCGGGACAACCATCAGGACAACCATCGGGACAACCCGCGGGACAACCATCGGGGGCCGCGCCCGGCCGGGAGGGGAGACGGGCGACTTTTTGGGCCCCATGTGGCCTCTACAAGTGCAAGAACTCGCGCAGCTTCGCCTCGCCCGCACGCACGACACGAACAGAAACCGAAACCGATTTCCCAGTTGGGGTCACCTCCGCTCACACCCCTCAACCTCCGAACATGGCCGGAGCCCAATGGAGGCCCGCCCACGGCCTAGCCAAGGCTTGTCAAAGGTCTTTCCAAGGCCTGCCCAGTTCCTACGTTTAGCCACCCACATGCGAACACCATAACGGATGTGAGCACCCGAATGCGAGTGACAACCGTGCCCGCGCTCGTCGCACAAACGCCACAGGAAGTCTGACAACGATGGGCTGTCCTGAGGGGTCCGATGGTGCTCCCTGCGATTTGCGGGTGCATGCCGCTCGGCCCTCACAGCTCGCGCAGAAAAGCTACGCGCCAACTCGTTACAGCAAGCGGCGATGGTGAGAAGGCAGCAGAGGCGCAATGCCGCGAGAAGAAGAGGAGAGAGAATGAGAATAATTGTGGAGATGTGTTCCATATATGCTAAACAGATCAGTGTTCTTAACAAGCAAGAATTGGGCAGTACCAGAGCCGTCTGGAAGCCATCCGGGACCAGCTCTGGTTCCACTGGCATCCACGCGCGAAAATACATCGAGGAACCTGCCGAATTCAATGGCATCGAGGTGCCCAGGCGCGTGGCTCTGCGCGCGGCGCTGTGAAGAAATACAAGTGAAGCAGTCCTGGACCTTGGGGAACCGGCAGGCTCTTCTCCTGCATGGCAGTCACAAGGGTCGCTCTTGCCATAGTCTTGCCATTGCCATTGTCCAGCGATCAAGGACAAAAACAGGGATGGGTCCTCGTGGTGACGTCGTGTCGCTGTCTTTCGGCGCTCACAGCGCCTGAAAAGCAAAGCACTGTTGAAGCAACATGGACATCCTCACCTGGAGCGGCCCTGCTGGTGGGCTACATCCATTGGAATCGTCAAGTAGGAGGCTAGAGCTGCTGCAGTTGCTTCCCGAGAGGACTGGCCGGGAGACTGCTAGGCATTCCCAACGAGCTTCTGCGGCTGCGGCCGCCCCGTTTCCCGCGTGCCCTGGCGGCGCGCTGCGCCCGCGGCAGCTCTTGCTGCAGCGCGAGCCACTGGATATCAAACAAGCTTAAGCGCATGCTAGCGGCATCGCCCCCGCAAGGCGCCAGGGAGCGGCGAGCCTTGATATCCACGCCCAAGCGGTTCAGGTTGCGGAGGCGAAGTGACAAACACTTGCTTCTCGGAGCCCCCTGTTGGTCCAGTGGCCTTGCGACCACGGCATCTGTCACTCAATTGTTCTAAGATGCTGTAGTCTTTCTGCATGAATAAAGAACGAAGCAGCGCACCAGGCTCGAAGTTGCCAAAGAGGACCGAGAAAGCAGGGCTGCATGGCGTGATCGGCAAAGCGTCGTCCCCGCTTCCAGCGATCAGATTAAAGGCCACGTGCATCTCAGAGTCACATGTGCCTGCTACAGCACAGGTGACACCATCAGCGTCATCGAAGGAGTCGGACTCTGATGTGCCGGACCTATCAGGACCTGGCCCAGGCGAGTCGAGCGCGTGGCTTGCTCCTTCCGCGCCCTTCGCAAGACATCGCGCAGCAGGGTCGCTCTGGCACGCGCGTTGCGCGTTTCACTCATTTTGCTCCTCGTTGATGCCGACCACGTGGACAAGGTCGTCCCCGCTTCCTAAGCAAGCATGGCGGATCTGCACCCCGCGAGTGGTTCCAAGAGCGCCACGACGCTTCGTGGAAAGAAAGCTCGCCTGAGCATCCCGCTCGGCGGCATCGGCCTCCGACGGTCTCGCCATGCATGCCGATACAGTGGGTGTCTCATCCTCCGCTGCAAACTCTGTGAACAGTCTGCCATTGAAACGTTCGGGGCCACTCTTGCACATCAGCGACTGCATAGTTGATCGGCACCCTTGATAATCCCCAAACGAGGTCCCAAATAAGTGCACGCCTCGCACGCTTTAGACGTGAGACCTTCGATGAGAGACGCATGCTTCGTGGCGTCCGCCTCATGCGCATACACCGCGGCCATGAGCTTCATGCACACATCAAAACTCCAAATCGCGATCATACTAAAGACCGCCATCAAGGCCAACACCACAAATTTCAAAAAAGAACAAAAAACACCCGAAAA